CATAGATAATATATTTTTGAAAACTTTATAGAGACTACTGCCTATTATTCATTCAGCATTCATTCATTTGGCATGAATTAATATAATTCATTAAAGAAAACTTTATATACTTTAATGTGATTCTTGATTCCCTGGGCCTCTTTCTAATGAGTTTCTGGGGTCCGTTTTTTGTATAGAAATACTTGGAATGTATTTAGCCCAGCATTCTAGTTACCCTGCCACCCAGATGAGATCATTACCCAAGGGTCTGTGATAACAGCTGCTCCATCCCCCTCCAGCCAGCCCCGAGTAAGATGTCATGTTCCTCTTTTTAGTTATTTTTTTAAGTATATGTAAAAGCAATGAAACAACATTTCAATTTTAAATCAGCAAGCATTTTTCTACATTTCATAACTTGACCATGTATAATTTATTGCTTAATACAACACACAAACCATTTATATGTATTAAAATTATAGAGGTTTAAAATTAAAATGTAGTTTCTTATAGCACTTTAAAAACTCTCCACCCAAATCCAGGATATTGCTAGGGATTTGATAATTATCTTCAAGGCTTAGTGGTTTGGATAGGCAGTACAGTGCAGGTTTTAAGAGTATGAAAAATGATCACCTCCTTTCAATTAGTCTTCACACTTTGGATGTATGACTTTGGGCTAGTTTCTTAACTTCTCATGCTTTAGTATCCTCGTCTATAAAGTGGGGATAATAATGCTAACTTATAGAATCATTGTACTATTAAAATATCAATATTTGTTACTATGTGTAAAATGCATAGTGCAATGCCTGGCATATGAGCACCAGGTAAGTGAGGCCCTGATTATCATGTGAATCCCCAGACTTTTGAGTTTAGATTTTAATTTTGTCACTTCATTCAGTCTAGTTCAGTGGTTACCAAAATGTAGTATGCATAAGTTACTGTATCTTGTTTTATTCAGTAATTTTCAAGGGTGATTCTAGCATATATGTGTGTATTCATTATGTGTTGGCTCTATAATATTTTATATTATAGATATCCAGGCATGTCATAATTGGCAGATCTTTTGTTATTTCAGTATTATAATTAAGTGAATCATTAAGTTTGTGATATATATCAATTAGTGTGTCACAGACTTTATTCCACTCAATTCTTTGAATACCTGCGCTTGCCAGATACAGTTGCCAGATATGTTTAGGCTCTGGAAACTATAAAAGTGGACAAAGTAGAAGAATTCTCTGTTCTTATAGAGTTTATATTCTAGTCAAGGAAAATATCATTATCTGATATCTTTCTTAACAATGTATTTAGATTAAATGCTTGAATTTATTTTTATTTAAATGTCTTTATATTGTTTCATTATATCATTGATTAGGTTGCTATTGTTCCTACTTGTAAAAGATTTATCCTAATCACTGTGTTTTTCCTCTGACAGCTCTTTCAAGCATTTGATTGGAGGGCTGGATGATGTTTCTAACAAAGCATATGAAGATGCAGAAGCTAAAGCAAAGTAAGTAACATTTTTTTACTTTGGCCTTACTCTTGGTTTTAAATATGATTTTGAATTGAAATAAGATCAAATATTTTGTTGTACTTAACAAAGCCTGACACTCTGCCAGGAAGAAATTAATTACGTAAGAGGGAAAAGAAGCAAACTGTTCAAGGTTTTATTACATAGTATGCTTACATAGTATGTCTCTTTAAACATGAAGCCTTAATTTTGTGATGAAGATCATCTCAACAAGTGAAAATGGTTAGTTTAAAATCCAGTATAAACAAATGAATGTAAACACGTTATTTCTCGTACCAACCGAAAATACTTTCTCAACAAATGGTAGCTATGTTCAATAGTTGTCTGAGGAATTGTATGGAAAATAATAAGGCTAGAAATATTTTCCTGTGCAAATTCATCATTACATTGAACTTTGATGTTACTAATATGAAAATGCTGTGAGATGGTAAATATCCCATTAGTTGTCATGTTGTATGAAAAAATACAATTCTGTCTGCAAGGATACTTTGCTTTAAAAAAAAACTTTATTTCTGACAGATTTGAAACAGTTTGAGATTAGCTTTCTCTGCAAAATTTTTAAGTTATTTTAAAAAACCACTAATCTAAATAATCTTCCTCTCTTTCCACCAAATCATTTTAGTATTTGATATCATACGGCACAACTGAAGAATTAAGTTGACAAAAAATAGCATGAAATAGATAGTTCAAGGCAGAATTTGATTGGTTTGGCTTTGTATTAACCTAAAAATAAAAAGAAGTAAGACAATTTCCTTTGAGAATTTATGAAGATGAAAAAATTTGATCTGTAACTAAAATATTAAGAACTATACCCCATGCTAACCCCATAAAATTATATCATTTTCAAAACTATACAAATATATTCACAATCCCTCCTCAATATAGTTTGCTTTTGCCCTTCTGAACTTTGGAGGGCCATAGACTTAAGCCCTAATGTTGAATGCTGACAGTACCTTCTAAAGTTTGCTCAGGAAGTTACACTGCCAGTTGTGACATCAAACTCCATGTAGTCATTGGAATTGCCTATATTCTGGGTAATTAGTATTAGTCATTTGGGTTTTCTATAATAGGCTAAAATACACCTTCATACTCAGTTTAGAGTGTAGTTTCTGGTGTTGTTACTAATCTCACCAAGGCCATTTAAAGTGCCTTATTAGTTTAAAAGTTATAAAATGCTGTTTTGTAAAAGTTATAAAATGCCCTTTTATAAAAATTATTAAAAGCCTTTGTTTACATAATTATATTATTATACCTGTATTTTATAATACTAAGTATAAATGTGTTAAATGACTGATGGTAATCTTGAAAATTCATCTAAAATCTACTTGAGTTACTGGAAGAAGTTAAAGGTCTTCTTAGGCTAATGTATCCTTGCTACTTTGATCTATTTCTGTTTCTCTATTAAACTTCAGAGAGATTCACTAATGAAAGTTTTTGTAGAACTCTTATTTACTCCACCCAAAGTTGAGGCTGATCACAGGCTTCAACTTAATCAGTGATGGGAAGTGATTGTGAATTAGTCATATCTTTCTCAGTGTCCTGTTGACTTTATAAAGATAACTGTGTGCACATCTCATGAATTTTGGCCATTAATGGATTCATTTGCACATACTTCAGTGAGAGGTAGTAAGGAAAATTAACACACTGAAATGCAGATTCAGACAGTTAGAAGGTAGGTGTGGCAACAATTCTTAATGTTGGAAAACAATCGATCGATATAAAAAAAAAAAAAATTGAACCTGAACAAAGGCCAGAAGCCTTGGGTTCTGCTCCTGGCTTTGTGATTACCAGGCAAGTGATCTTGACCATGACGCTGAACATCTGTCTCTTGATCTAAGTTTTCACACTTTTAAAATGGTGTTTTTGAGATTTAATTGATGGCATTATGTAAAAATATTTTGTAAATTATAAAGGGCTATAAAAGTGGATGCTATTGTTAATAGAAGAAATAACTGGAAATATATCTTAGTGCATTTGGTATATGATTTATTAACAGATAATCATTCCATATCTATCACGTAAAACTAATTTTACCTGGGCAAGAAGTCTTTAGTCTTATGTAAGTAACATATTCTTACTTAATAAAATTAAATCTTGCCTAGAAAATATCAATAAATATCTTTTTTATATAAATAGTAACATTTGGTTAAAAGAGAGTTCAATTATAATTAAGGAACAAAGGACAATGGAATGACTATCTATATTAAGGTGGCTCCAAATATTGTTATTTGACCCATAGATTTGATAGATTATAATTTAACCATTATATTTGTACTTCTTTCTCTCTTTTATTGAGGTATAATTGTCAAATAAAAATTCAATACATTTAAAGTGTATAACATGATGATTTGATATATGTATACATTGTGAAAGATTACCACAATCAAGCTAATTAACACATCCATCACCTCACATAGTTATTCTGTGTGTGTGTGTGTGTGTGTGTGTGTGTGTGTGTGTGTGTGTGTGTTGAGAACTCTCAAGATCTACTGTCTCAGCAAATTTCAACTGGGACAGATTTGTTTGAATTTTCTGTTCAATTCATACTAAACCCAAACTAATACATAGTCCACATTTCTTAATATTGATTATTATTTAGAACAATGGTAAAAGTTTATGAAAACGATGTCTAAAACCTTTGATCTGAGTTCTAGAGAGATTGATAATGTGATTTTTATTCCCCAAAATAACCAAGTAAATAAACAAATAAATAAATGCTGGAGAAGTTGTTATGCTTTTTACACTGTTAGCATTAGCCTTCTAATAAATAATTAATATCTGAAGATTTCTGAAGGTGAAGATATCTCTTAATTAGGTATCCTGTCACTCGGAGAAAGCAAACTGTGAATTATTCCCTAGGGAAAGCTTTTTAGTTGAACTAACCAGTTTAATACCTCTATTTGTATTAGCATTGTTGTCTTTCTCTATTGAATTCCTTCCCCATAAGTTCATTGAAACTTCACTTTGTATTTAAGGGATTTAAAAGGTTTGCCAACATTGCAGGAACTAAAAACAGGCTCCGATTAATCCAAACTCCCTGGATAATTCTGTTAATGCCTCTAAATTTCCATATAGATTGCAAGGTCTAGACCATTTAGAACTGAAGTGTTGATTTGGCTACACTTTATAAGCTTTATTTTTTTTCACGGTCCGTTGATTTTGCAAAATCCGTAGAAGATTACAGTAATATTTCGTAAAACCCAACTGAAATGATTATGTTATTTATCCATGTAAAATCATTACTGGTATTGTCTTATTGACTATGCTTCTTTGGGTCAGAAGAGAAAAAAGTAAGACTGACTGTAAAGATTGATACAGTTGAGACATTTAAAAATTCAAATGTGAGAGTCTCCTTAGCTGTTAGCATAATCAGGTTCAATGGCAGAAAGATTCCACAAAAAGTACAGATGATGCCTTTCTGAAAAACTATACCAAGCATTCGGCTCAGGTAGCTGGTCTAGGAAGATTGGCTCAAGAGAAATATTCCAGTGAATGGTTCTCACTACTCCTCTCCTGTAGGATGTGTGCCCTCAGCCTGTCCCATGAGATATATTTTCTATAAAGATAATTATTCTTGGCGGAAATTTTGCCTTTATGTTTAAACTTCTCTTAATTGCTGTTAATTATTCACTGAGGGCTTCTCTTTTTAAAACATGAAGTTATAATCACAAAGACATTAGAAGAGACAGCATCAGATGAAAGATAAGGCTCGTTAAACCTTATTTGGAGCAGAAAGTCTCACATATAATGAAAGGCACATATTATCTCCCTTTGAGAATATGTATTCATTCATTTAATGAACATTTAGAAATTTACTTATGATGAGTCAGGCATTGTGCTTTATAATGTGCATACCAAATAGAAAACAGAATTTCCAATACTATGGATCATCTTACAGTTTAGTAGAGAGACTGATATGTAATTCAATGATGATTTTCACTATTTCGTTCTAAGAATAAGTTATGATAATTATTGTGAGATTATACTGTTTGAGTATAGAGCCCTATTTCCACATTTAAGCCTTGCCTTGTAAAAAATCATAACCATCCAGAAATACCAAAAGAAAAAATAAATATTTTATTTTATGTTAAGTATTTATGATATATAAGTATAGCCTATATTTTAAATGAAATATTTTCAAGTTATGCTGTCATTGATATCTTCATTGCTGAATACTGTACTCAGTAATTATAAGTAAAAAAGCTCTTTCTTTAAATAAAAAGCCTATATATATATTTCAACTTAGCATGTTAATTTTAATACTTTATCATGAAAATCTCTAATATAAAAGTTGAACTTTTATAAGATGATTTACATATGCCACAGCTATATTCCCAGATGAGGGTCAAACAGAGGGTGAACAAAAATTAAACAGTGATTTTTTGTTTTGTAATGATGTCTATTTTTATTAAAATGTACTTTTACTAGGAATAATATGGCAATATAGAGAAAGAAAAAGAAAACAGTTTAAACCAAATGCAACTGCTATTACCTATCTTTGTGTTTTACAATTGTACTGAGAGTGCATTTAAAATTTTATGTCTTGCTTTTTTCCATTTATTATCATCATATGAGCATTTATAATACTATTGTATAACTCTTCATAAATATTATTCTAATGGTATCTGATAACACAATGAATGGAAACCCAGTGTTCTAGACTAATTCAAGTTGTAGCCTTGTTGTTTCAATTTATTTTGCTTTTGAAGATAACATCTCATCACTTCTTTAAAAAAAAAGCACCAAATAACAACAACAAAAAATACCTTCAAATATGTCCCATCTAGGGGTGTTTTATTTTATGTTATGGCACTAATAGATAATGAGTACAAGTGTATTATACCAATTGGTTCAGCTGCCCTAGGGTCTATCTTGCCCTCCTGAAGGCTGAAGGGTTCTATACCTAAGCTCTTCGATTGAGAAGTTCTGACAGCGATATGAATATAGATTTGTAAATGCATTTAGTTGTGATCTAAGTT